GAAGTTTGGCCATTTCCAATGCCAAAATACCAATAACTAATGAGTCGTCAGTTTTTCCCTATTTGCTGCAGGTGCTGCCATGAAACTCCTAGCTATTCTGTGGATACAAATGTTCAGAATGCTAACTCCAGTTTAGCTATCCTTACATCTGCATTATTATTATTATTATTATTATTATTAATTTTATTTTTTTAAGAAAACTTCTTTATTTTTTGCCTCCCCTAACTATAAAGTAACTCTATGGCTGCAGAAATCTTTTCTGTCATTATCACCATGTTCCCAATGCTTAAGATAGTACTAGTACAAAGTAGGTACTCAGTAAGTATTTATTAAATGAGTGATGCACATGGTCAGGAAAGAGACATGTGTTGTTAGTTACATTAGGATATCAACTCTATTTATTAATACAGGGAGAGGAGATGAAACTACTTTGGTCATAATCTCCTCTCTTTTCTGATCTAATGTAACATGCTGTTAAACTTTATTACTAGCTTTAAGATCTTTTTCCTTCAATACATTTCCACTACTCTTTCCTCTTCCTCCTCCTCTTTAATCAGCCTCTTGTTTTTCATCCTTCTCCTCCTCCTCTTTTGTATTTCTCTTTTCCCTTTTCTCAGTATTCTTTGCTCCTTTGCTTTGGCTTTTTGAGGCAAAAATAGAATGAAAGAAACTACATATACTGAAGCTGCAATGTGATGAGTTTTAATATTTTTATGTTCATAAAGTCATCAGAACAATTAAAATAATAAACATATCCATTATCCCCAAACATTTTCTCCCTGTTTTTCTTTTCTTTTCCTTTCTACCTTCCTTCCTTCCTTCCTTCCTTCCTAGGAATTTTCCTTCCAAGGAATTTTCCTGGCATGAGGATATTCAAGTGTTTTTCTCCAATCTGATTTTAGAAAATTCTCTCAATGGGCTTCTAGAGAGCTTCAGGATGGGGACTGGCTATGAGAAAGGCTGAGACTTGATTAAAGTCCTGGACTTTCAGCCTTACCTACACTGTCCCCACCTCTTGGGAGAGGAGAGAGGCTAGAAGTTGAGCTAATAATCAGTCAAGCTTACATGATGCAACCTCCATTAAAAAAATTTTAATGATGAATTTTGGAGACCTTTCAGGTTGGTGAAGGTTCTGGGAAGGTGGTGTGCTCCATATGGCAGCTCTATGCAAGTCCCTTCCCAGCACCTTGTCCTGTGAATCTTCTCTGTTTGGCTCTTCCTGAATTGTATCTTTTATAATAAACTAGTACTAGTAAGTAAAGTGCTTTCCTGTGTTTTTGATTCACTCTAGCAAATTATTAAGCCTTGAGTATGGATGGGGGTAGACATGAGAAACCCTCGTTATGGTCTGGATCTGGTATTTTCCCTGAAGTCTCATTTCTTGAAGGCTTGGTCCTCAGTACAGCAAGGTTCAGAGGTGGGCTTTTGGAAAATGATTGATCATGAGGGCTCTGATGTCATCGGGGGAATAACCCACAGATAGCTTCATGGACTACTGGAAGGTGGCAGGAACTAAAGGAAGATGGGGCATTTGTGAGGATATAGATCACTGGGGCATGCCCTGGGGACTATCCATCTTAGGTGTCTACTTTTCTCTGTGCTTTCTGACTGCCATAGGCTAAGTACCTTTCCTCTGCCACACTTTCTTCCATGACATTCCTGCCTTGGAACCAGCTGACTACGGACTAAATCCTCTGAAACCATGAGCCAAAACAAAGCTTTCCTATTCTAAGTTATTTTTCTCAGGTATTTATGATAGTGATAAAAATTTGACTAAAATATCCCTGATTTATAGTCAGTTGGTCAGAAGTATGAGTGTATGAGTGGTCTGGGAATTATCATTGACATTGGAAATGGAGAAGCCTTGTGGGGATGATTCCTTTAACTTGTGAGATCTGATGCTAACCTCACATAATATCAGAATTTAATTGAACTCTTCAATATGCAGTTGGCATTGGGAAAATCAGAAAATTGTTTGTTGGTTTTGGAAAATATCCAAATAGTATAAGACTTCCAACATTGTTCTTCAAAATTATTTTGGCTGCCTCCTTTGTATTTCCATACAACTTGTAGAAATCAGCCAGTCAATTACACAAAGAGCCAGCAAACAACAACAACAATAACAAAATCTTCTGGGATTTTGACTAGTATTACCTTTAGTCTATAAGTAAAACTGGGAGAACTGGCATCATAATCCTATGGTTTCTGATTTACAACGTAGTGTCTGTCTCCATTTATTCAAGTGTTGTTTAATTTTTCTCATCATGATTTTGCATTTTCAACATATAGATTAGATAAACCTTATGTCAAAATGATCCCTAAGTATTGCATAACTTTGGTACTATTGTAAGTGGTATTGCTCAAAAATTTTTAATTTCTAAAAATTATAGAATTTCTAAAAACTATAAAATTCTATATATTTCTGCCAATATATAGAAATACATGGTTTATTTTGTATATCAATCTTATATCCTATAACTAACTTTTTAGAACTAAGCTTTCTTACAGATTATTTGGGATTGTTTTAAAAATAATCATGCTACCTGTGAATAGAAACATTTAATTCTTCCTTTCTCATCTGGATAGCTTTTATTTCTTTTTCTTACATGATTATACTGGCTCCAACTCCCAGTAACTTCCTGAATAGAAACAAGAGTAGACATCCTTGCATTGGTCTTCATCTTAAGAGAGAAACATTCAGTCTTCCAACCTTAGGTATATGGTTGTCTTTAGTATTTTTTTTTAAGATGGAAGAAGTTCCCTTCTAATCCTAATTTTCTAAGACATTTTTGTCATGAATAGATGTTGGATTATAAGAAACACTTTTTATATATATTTTTAAAAATTCTCTCTATATAAGAGAAATTTATAATTTGTTTCCTGTTTAAAAATCAAAGGTTTCCCATCACTTTTAGAATAAAGTCTTATCATGGTATATATCTCCCACCTCTTCTCAAAGTGTACCCTATACTATATTAAATTACTTAGATTTAATTTAAATTACTTTATTACCAAATTACTTAGAATTCTATGAATGTGCCAATGCTGTTTCAGTCTTCTGTGAATATTCTCAGATTCTGTTTATCTGGAATATCTCCTTCCTCATCCCAGATCCCTTAACCTTATTTCTGCTGCAGATACCAAATCAATCAGTGAATTCCAACTGTTCTTTAAAAACCAAGATTAAAACATCGATTCTTTGACAATCACTCATTCTTCAGTGTTAAATATATTAGGCTCCTACCTCTATTGTAGATGCTACCACCATGAGTGCAGTTATTTGTTTACTTTGTCTCCTTCCCAAATAAATTGTGAGCAATGCAAGGATAAGGACAATGTTCAGAAACAAATGCTTAGCAAAATGCTCAATAGAAAGTGGACCCTAAAGAAATAAATATCTGCAAAACTCTTTGAAGACTGGTAAGTTGTCCATAAAATCCAATATATTATTCTTTCATTATATCCTACTGTATAAATGTACTGCTTTTTATAAGGGTTCTAATATGCAAATACTTATAAGGAATCATGTTACATTAACATAATTATCATCAACATATGTCTGCTAATTTATTGGCTAAAGCCAATATCAAAATCAGGCCCTGTATGTCTGTGCACCAGGGCACCACCTATGATACCTTATAGATAGTTATGAGGTCATTCATTTATACCTTACAAAAGCCTAGAGGAAAGTACCATTATTATCTCCATTTTAAAAATAAGGAGATAGTGACACAAATTCAAATACAGAACTAAAAATAGCAAATCTGGCCTTTCAAATAAGACGGTTCAGCTCCAGAGCCTATTCTTTAATTTATATATTAAGTAACAAGATTTACAAATGATGATACTACTTTTACATTGATTTATTTCATCATATTCACAGAATATAGTTATAATTAGTTATGCTGCATGCAAAGAAGAAGAATGGCTTCCATGTTCCTGATACTGGACTTATAAATATATTCTGAAAGGCAAGGGATAGGAGGAGGCTGCTTGAAATGTTCACTGTCAACTAGTTTTTCACAAGCTATAACTTTTAAAACACTGGCTAACAATGTAACTTTTATTGAATTCAATATTTTAGGAAAAACTATCCAATAAAGTGAATTGAAAATGATTCTATATGACATGTTAGGTTTCATACACTTATTCTATAGTTACAATGACATGGGTGAATCTTTATACTGTATTGGGAATATAAAATGTTCCATAAGCCGGGAATACTCATACAGACTTTACTTAGAATAGAAAAACTGAGAGAATGAGTAGGAATTTAAAATTGATTCCCAATATGAAGTTCTCGTAAAACCTTCTGTCACTACTAATATTTTGAAGACATTTAAAAAATTATATGAAACAAGTTACCTGTAAATGAAACAGAACTTTTTTATTTCTTTCTATTTCTGATGTTTGGGATTGTTGTTGTTTTGCAACTTCCTCTACAATTTCAGTTAGTGATGATGTATCTTCTTTACCCACAGCTAGATGAAAGAATAAAGTATATGACAAAAACTAAATGAAGACATTTTAAGACACTTATGTTTCTTTACAGGAACATGAAAAATTAGGTGTTTTTTCTGATTTAAAAGAAAAGTACATTTAGGATTGGTAATCCTCCCTGATTCTAGATAAAACCATAATCAAAGGAAATAATAGGAGGCAATTCAAAGTTGCCTACTGCAATACCATAACTGTTCTTTTATGAAAAAATATAAATATTTTGATTGTCCTAATTTTTTTCATCTGGATCACTTGTACATATACTATAATTATAGTGCCACCACAACAACTCAATAGCAATTATAGTTGATGGATTTTCAACATAGGCCTGTATTTTCAGGTTGTTATAGCTTTTTTAAACTCTGAGTACGTTTCTTCCTGGTGAAATATAATTGCCTCCTTCTACTTTAATTTATTATTCCTTCTAACACAATTATCCTTTTTGTACTACTTTTTATTCTCGACCTTTTAATTATTTATTTCTTAAGATGGATTCACTACCTTCTTTAGGAACTTCTTCACTCTTCCTTTCCTTGCTTCCTGACATTCTCATTGTCTGTAATCTCCTATTTTCCACTGTCTGGCTCACCTTCTTTTCTCCTACAAAAACATCTATATTGTTATAAATTGCCAAACATGTCACAGGAATGCAGTGACATTTCACCACTGGTACCAGTAAATAAAAGACAATGATTAAGTGAGAGATTTTGGAAGAAAAGTTGAACCGTATTTGAATCTTGGTTCTCCTGCTTTTTAGTTGTTATGACTTTGAGTAAGTTTCTTCTTTGATGCACTGTATCCTCATTTTTCCAAACACACACACACACACACACACACACAAACTGGTAAGAATTAGTTCTAAGAATGCTTTAGCAATCTCTACCATGAATATAGAATGTGGGGAATATAGCACTCCTGTTCAGTATTATTTTGGTCAGGGTAAGACCTAAGCAGGTTGAAAATCATGTGCCAGTGTACTTGATTTAGGAGTAACTGATAAGATGAAGGA